AAGGAGGAAAAGCCACGAGAATATTGGTGAACACCGATAGATAGTAGACAAATATCGAACGAAAAAACGCGAAAGTAGGAAATCAAATCGGAAATAGATCTCGATCCTATCGAAATGATTTTGGGCTCGTAGCCAAGCGTGAACCAGCAGATGTTATCTCCGTGCAAGATTATTCGTCTTTACCAACAAATCCCCCCCGGATCTTTTATGGCAATCTTACTACTATACATCTCTTTTCCTCGTCTGACGATCTACGTGTCATTGGAGCGAGCTTGCAATTTTTAAGCGGTTGTTCTTGTTATCGCAAAAATATCAAGGCTATCAGCATAAAAAACGATACACAAACTGTTTAGAGAAGTCTTTATGTTAAGAAGATAAAGATAAAAAAGACTGAAAATAAAGTGCTTATCGCAGCACAATAATCTCATCTCTCTTCTTTCCTATTTTGAAAGTTTATTAGTTTTTTAAAAATTCATGGTTTTAGAAAATTTAGAAATTTAGAATAAATATAATCCTCCCTTCCCATGGAAATACAATTTGAAAATAACGTGTCGTGTATAATATAATAGATAAAATTGTAATGCTCTTTCTAATATATAATATTGTTTTGTAATTATAATAAAAATAGAAGAGAAAAAATCTGTTTCTCTTCGAATATATATTTATAATATATTGCAGTTTTTGGTAAATAAAAAGTACATTTTAGTACGTTTAACAACAACTTAATTGTGGTGTATATGCGCAGAAATCAAAATACAAAAGCCGCGTACCGGAGCGGCGCGCCAGATAGGAAGCAACTAAGAGGATTAGTAGCCAAATGGCTGGGTAGCGGTAAACTAAAACAAATATTACCCGCGAAAGGGAATCGCAAGTTAAATGTAATTATGCAACTAAATACTACATAATTACTAATGCCGGAGGAAAAAAAAATACTCTCGGTGTTCTGGATTTTATTTCAAATATGCAATCATAATATTTCAAAGTGATTTCATTGGGTTTTCAATGTATAAAATTGCGAAATTCAGCCGTCTAAATTGCACAAGAAATAGCAAAAGGGATACAAAATATGAGACCGGGCCGTTAAAAGTTGAAGACGCGTTAGCGCCAAACTGTTCGACGTAATGGCCAAAGTTCCCGTCGTCCTGCTCCCGTTCGTCGTGCCCTTTTATTATTTTATATTTCGCGGCATCGCGCGGTGCACACCACGCCAGTTGGAGATAACAGAAATTATCCCTACATTTAAAAGTGGAACAACTGTTAGAGACGTCGCGAAACTTTAATACTGCGGTGATACCGAGCCGATTTCATCTTCGCGCGAGAATCCCAGGCCTTCACCTTCGGATCTAATTCCCCGGTAAGTTTGTGCACGTGTCCAACTTTAGTCGAGCCTCGACCAAAAATGTTGAACATTTAAAGACCGGTAAAAAATAAGCGGATAGCGAATGTATAATTCTTTCGGATGGTTTTAAGAAAGAGTTTAAATAACTCATCATATCAGAGAAGAAATGACAGCTTTCCTGAGTATAAGAAGATATAACTTTCACAGAGTTCAAATCATAAAAATCATATTTAAAAATAGTATATACGATTACGATTACCGTATAAAAATACAGAGAGAATTTTTTTAAAGAATTTATTCTGAGAATCGTGTGTGTGATAATCGTAGGACAATATGGTATTGGAAGACTTTGACAAGAGTTTCTCTGATTAATATTTAGCGCAATAATATATAAAATATGTTTGATTAATTTTACTATGTACATATTAATATTTTTGTTGTGCTAAATATTAATCAGAGAAACTCTTATAAAATTCTTCCAATACTATATTATCCCACGATTACCATATGATTTTCAGGGTAAATTCTAAGACAAAATTCTCTCCGTGTAGATCTTGTATACATACAACGAGGTAATTATTCTTATAAAAATAATATCTCAAGAAAAATAGTTACATATTGTACAAATTTTGTGCAAATTAAAGCGCAAGAATAAAAATGTTGTTAGTTAATTTCACATTTAAATGAAACTTGAATGAGAATTATCTATATGCACCTTTTAATTCACGGAGGGATCTTTATTTTCCATTACAATCTACGTGAAAACTACTCTTTCATAAGATTTTCGTTTGACATTTAAATAAGGAATTTCTCTCGGTTTCATATGCTACTCACGAACCACCCTGGTAGTATAGACACGCCGTATGTATAGATTATGGACTGTGAAGTACATACATACGTGCGTGCGAGAGCGCTCTCAGACGGTTACGAATATCAACGAGACGGCGTCACGAGTACATAAATACGCACACGGAAACGGAAAGCTCGTGATATCGCACAACAGCGAGCATTAGCGAAGCGTTTCTTCGCATGCGTCATCGGGGTACACCTTGCGATTGCAGATTAGCGCGCGCCGGACGTTTCCGCTGGGACGCACGTTTCCCGCGGCCTGGGCGACTTGTTACAGGCACGTACGCGCGCGTTTCCTCGTGCAAGCATGCAATCCGCCCGCTACATGCACGTATACGGCCGTATATAATATAGTGGATCCGCAGCGCGCGTCCGTAATGTAATCATGGGTGACACAATTAATCACTGGACCATCCAACCCCACCAGGCCATTAGCGATTGCGACACACTCAGGCTCTCGTTGATAGGAGGATGCGTTTCGCATACTCGCGCGAGCAAACGGATATACGTGTAAACGCACACACGTGGGAAAAGATCGGAAAGCACGCGGGGAAAGAGAGGCTGATCCGCTATATATTGGTCGTTTATGATCGACGCTCGTTAGGATCTTTTTCCCGATTTTATGCGGAGCTCATGCGCGTGATTAATTGGCGCCATTGTGTATCGCTAGATTATTATACTAGATGCAGGTGATGGTGGATCCTATCGATCCGCCACCAGCGACCGATTGCTTTCCCGGATATATCGTGAAATCTATTTCGTAGATTTATGTCCTAATAACTATGATTTCGATATATTAACGAGGTGTAGCTATAATTTCGCGATGCGAAAATTTGCATAAATGCAGCTGTGCGCTTTAATTAGAAATCACTTGTTTGAATTATTTGAAAAATTAAATCGTTGTGTCTTTTAAAAACTTTTAAAAAGAAGAGAAGAAATACCCGAACACAATTACAACTAAATATCAGCGAATATCCGAGAAGTTTTTCATTTATAATTTTATAAAAAATTATTTTATACATTTTGTAAATTTTATAGAGAATTATTTTAAGAAATAAAATATACATTAATAATTAATGTCTTTTCAAGCTCGTTCGCTGATATTCGTTTGTGATCGTTCGTGCTCGTTCACCCGACTTTATGCTACCAAACATTTTTGCACCATAAAGCTACACACACATGGAATATATATTAATAATCTTTGTGTAACATATAGGTTACAAATTTAATATATTATTGGTACGCATATTTTTCTTTTAAAATAGCTTTAAAAATTATTGTTTAATTCTAAAAATATTATATTTTTTTAATAATATGATTGAGCAAAATAATTTCTGCTTATATCAATATTGTAAAAGAAAAAAAATATTTTTAAGTTCTTAGTATTTTAAATTTTTAACTCAGTATTATATATATATATATATATAAATGTATTCTTTTCGTATATTAATAAACGTATATAAAAATAAAAATCAAAGAAATAATAGATTGACCATGTGACAATGAGGGTAATGAGATATGTACGCATTATATTCAAATTTTAGCCAAAAGGATATTATGTCTTATTTGTACACGGAAAAAAATTAGTTACCATAACTAAAATTTATCTATCTTTATATTACAACCTGCAATTTAATTATTATCATGCCTAAATTTTAGCTATGGTAACTAATATTTTTTAGTTATAGTTTAACGGAGAATTCTATAGCTAACAAATATTATCATAGCTAACATTTAGGCATGCTAACTAAATTTTATGTGTGATATAAGGACAGCTAAAATTTAGTTAAAGTAGTTAATTTTTTTTCGTGCAGAAATAAGACATAATATCTTGAAGTTTTTGGCTAAAATTTTAATATTATGCGTACATCTGTTTCATTGTCAATATATTATTTCTTTGATTTTTATTTTTATATACATTTACTAATATAACCAAATGTGTAATAGACGGACAGTTACAATTTAGCTATACTAGCTAATTTTTTCCATGTAATATTTCTAACATTTAGAACTATCAAACATATTTGCCGTTATAAAACACATAATTTAATGATTTCACAAATTTTGTGATAATATTTTTCTATTTATTTCTTATCACAAGTTCACAAGTTTTTCGATTAAAAAAGAGAGCTGCGTATTATTGCGCGCTATTACACAATTGACAATATATATAAAGTTTTTCAAGTCTATAATATGCATAAGAGGTTTGCATTGTTCAAAATGCACAAATAAAAAATTAAGAAGAGGATCAGTAGTTTCAAAGGATAGTACTTACGTTATTTCAGGTTTTTCTGACTAAAATGCCTCAGTGAAAAAATAACATGTTGATAAAAATAATTCGATACAGTTCAAATACTTTATGTAGCATAAAGTATATATAAAAAATTGTTTATTTATTTACAAAGTTTCCCTGGTCATCAAAAACATTTTTTTCAGGTTTAAGCGTGTAAATTTGCCTTTAATTAAATATCCATCAAATTGCATATCCAATTTTAATAAACATAATAGTAATGAATATCTCATTACGTTATACCTTTTTATAAAATAAAAACATGAAATCAACAAAGGAAATATGCAATCCACACGTGACCGAAAATAAAATTAAACTGTATATGTTACTAATTCATACAATTAAAAAAATTTAATTTAATATGCACTTAACGTATTTCTTCATTTATTATGATAATTCATAAATTAATATCATTATATTAATATAAACTAAATTTCAAAAAAATCAACCAAATCTAATAATATTCAAAAAACTATTTTAATAATCAAATTATTACAAGACAAAAAAATTATTATTTTTTTTTATAATCTAATATCATAATTATTATTTGAAATTTTCATAGATGGATATTTTATGGAAAAAGACTTTTATTTTCTCAGTGCGATGATCTGAAATATATATATAGAAAATTTTTTATATACTATGTGAAAATGCACGTTATTCGGATCGCACTTATCCTTGTCGATTTTCAACATATTGGAAATTTGTACCTTTTATCCTCCATGCAGTGTTGAGATGAAAAGTATTTTATCCCGCGGACACAATTTATAATCGCCTTCACCCTGAAAAAAAAGTTATATTTCTAATCAATCGAGAGAGGTGAGAAACATGATTAAAATTTGGTACGAAACTATGTGACAAATATGAATAAACTTGAAGAAAATATTTTATATCAAACATATATTTATACATTCTTCTAAAAATTTGAATTTTTATATTCATTGAGTTTAAAATATTTCTACTTTTCTTTTTTAATAAAAATTACATTAAAGAAATAGAAAAAGTAAAAACTAATCTGCAATTTTTAATATTTTACTTTAAAAAGGAAATGAGAAAAAAATTATAAAGTGTAATATTTGATTTTCTCAAATAAATTCAATGTTAAAAATTACGACTTAAATATCTATTAAATTTATCTAGTTAAATATTTCTACAATTAATTCTCAAACTAAACCAAAACATTTACTTCTTCTGTCAAAGTTTATTTAAAATAAATTATAAAATTTCTCTCATAATTATTCGCAATCCTAAATTTCTCTCATAATTATTCGCAATCCTGAAATTTATTGAATGTAGGGGACATCTTATACATTATGTGTATGCCATTAATAAAAGATAGATTTTGACTTTACGAAGACTTCATTCTAAGTTCGCGCTTTTATCTCTTTACTATCGATAGCAAGCACGTCGATCTATTGTGCACAGTTCAACAAATTTTAGCATGAAAAAACTCGCCTAGAATATTCATCTAGAGCGCTTATATAGCAGAGAGAAGCAGATGAGAGTGGCAAAAGAAGCAGCGAAAGGGAAAAGGCAGATGACACGTATAGTATACATAGTATGTGCGTCTTGAGAAGATGGCCAGAACGAAAAGACGCGGAAACGCAAAAGCCGAAGCGCTTCGTGGAGAAGCGGCGGTATTATCATAATAATGGCCGGAGCCATCATCTTATCCCTCGTTCCAACGCACCCCGACGTCGCAGCATCTTCCCGCTCGAGCATGAGAGAACCGCGTCTCTCTCCACCTAATAGCCGCGACGTGTACATTTACAAATTTAAAATGATAATTCTCTCCGTGGGTGTGGCAAACCGAGGTCATTTGCGCCCTTTCAGCGTCCGGAGTCGCTCCGTTATCCCGCATCCCTCGCGTATCCAGCGCGTAAGCGACGACGACGACGACGACGACGACGGCGGCGGCGACGGTCGACAGACCGATTATGCCGTTTGTAAAAACCGGTCACGGGGTATCCCGTTTGTCAGACGCCAGGAGCAGGCCGTGCGTCACCTACCTACCCTGTCGGGAAGGTTGGCGAGCGGGAAAGAAATATTGCGCGACGAGGGGTGTCGTCTGCCTCGGTACCGCACACTTCTTCGCGCCTTTGAGATTAATATTTTAAACCGCCGCTCGGCAATCTCTCGGCACTCACAGACCGCAATCGAGTTCTTGGTTTTATTAACCGTAAAGCCCAACTTTAAAAGCTCCACGATATTTATGCACTTGTTTTCACGATATCATCGTCTTTCAATCGCGTCTTTTTCTTCTCTGTAGCAATTTGCAATCTTATTCTAGAATTCAACAACGTTGAAATTATATTTTTAAATCTTAAATATTTTTCTGTGTTTACAGCTATTTATTATATGATTTTTTGCATTTTGGGAGAGAGAGGGAGTTTACTTGAACATAAATATTAAATTTTTTTATTTAACAGAAGTAGATATTAAACTACTTAATTTTTTAAAAATGAAGCTATATATATAGCATGATTATTGGATATATTTAAATACTTCAAAAATACATGCAAGAATAATATCAAAATCTTTGTAAAATATTCTTCTATGTATAAAATCGTGTTTTTGGATATTTATGTATTCTTTTCTCGAAAATCATTGATTTTATTTTTATTCTGTTCAGAAATAAATAAATAATAAAATGATTTAATCGTTCAATCGTTCAATCTAAAAAAATATGACATTTTATCAAAACAATTTTACAAAGTCAAAGTTATAACAATCAAAGTTGACAAAAGAATCGATTAAGAAAAAAATATAAAAAAAGATTTTACTCTAAAAAAATATTGATTAAAATGTCAACTCAGTGTTGAGAAAAAAATATAAAGATATAAGTAATTTTGCCATATGATTTCACTTTCACAACTCTGCTCTCCTCTTGCAATGTAACGTAAGAAAAAATAAGACATAGAAAGTTATATAAACAAAATAAATATTAAAATAATTCAATCATCTGGTCAAGTTTATAAATTTAAAAAAATTTAATAAATGCATTATATAATAAATGCATGACACTTCTTAAATATATCGATATTATCAAGCATGTTTTAAGCATGTATATTTTTTCTTTATTAATACATTTTTAATATAACTAAAAAAATTTAAGAATATAAATATTGTCTGTGAACATGGTGCATTAATTTTCGTATCAGTATGATGGTTAAAAATTGCGTAGCTGGTTATAATCTATTCAAATATTTTTCGAATTTAAATTTGTCATTCTCATTAGTTCTTTAAATCTGTATTTAAAATTTGTATTAAAAATTTCCTACAAAAGAATGAGAAGTTATAATAACTCTAAATATAGTTTTGAAGTACACAACAACTTGTCTTGAAAATTTTATATAACAATTAATAATAAAATTACAAATAAATCGAGTATTTAAGTTTACAATAAAAAATACAAAAAAACCGTTAAAGAATATAAATCTAAAAATTTTTTCTACAACAATTATTAAAAAATCGAATAAATAATTTTTAGTTTATTCTATCCCTTTCTTAATAATAATATTATTTTTTATAATTATTTATAATTTTATTCTGATTATTTCCTATATTAAATATTCTAATAACTTTTCTACTTCGTTTGTGAAAAAGTGTAAAAGAATCAATTAATTAATTAATACATAGATTAATATATTATAAATTAAATAATACACTAAAAAACTGCTATTGATTTCAAATAAATATGTATTTCAATAGTGCCTTTAACACTATTTGTTTGAGACAAATAAATATTTATCTGTTTTGAAAAAGGATTTCTAATATCAAATAAGTATTTTTTCATGGCAAATCAATATTATTAGTTTCAAACAAATGGTGTTAATGGCACTATTGAAATAGATATTTATTTGAAATCAATAGTTTTTTTCCGTGTAATAATTAAAAATGTTTTTCGATTTTCATATCAAAACAATTATTTTTGTATATATTTTCATTTAAAAAAACATTAATTCCAAATTCTAATAGAATGCATGGTCGAAAACATCCGATGGTTTTAGAAAAAGTAACATATTTAACAAGTACAATATTTTACACGAAACTAAAATATTGATATGCTCGCTAAAAATTTACGATAATTGTATAAGTTTTCTTTTCGTTTTACAAACATTTTTAGAATGTCCATGAAAATATTCAAACAGAAATGCAACAAACACTCACCAGCAATTCCCAGTCGGCGTCGTTTACCAGAACCAGAATGCCCGGCCTCCTAAAACAAGCAAGATAAACTTCTTAAATCGAGTTTACGATTTTCCTACAGCTAGCGTATCGTGTATTAAAAACTTACGAATTTCGCATTAACGCTCTCTCCCAATTACGGAAAGTTAACGGAACGAACGGAAAGTTAACGAAACAAGAAACGAAACACTCCCGTTCCCGTTTCACGATCTTTTACCGCGCAAAACACAATGACGAGAGAAAAATTGCAATATGGCTGATCGATCTATATAATTGCAATTATTCGACACTACTGAGACAGGCGTATTTACACAATATGTACCGTTCATTACCGCATATACCTACACCGCTATACATACACTATCCTTCGAACACTCAACTGCGTTAACGAAACGAACGAAAATTAACGAAATAAACAGCGAACAAACTCCCGCTCTCGTTCCGCGAACTTTTACCGCCCGAGACACGATGAAGAATGAGAACTTTTAATATGGCGGATCGATACGATCGTATATCGATATAATCGATACTCCAACTCGATGCTATCGATATGCGCGGATTCACAATACTTCATACAATGTTCATTACTGTGTTACATATACTATATATATTTCGAACATTTTAGGGCCAATTTCGCACCAAGTCCAATTAGATAAACCGATGGCTAAAATTAACAGGATGGCTAAAACCAAGCATAATATTCATATCTATGTCATATGAATACTTTCATGTCTATTAACCATCCTAATTTTAACCTCGAATATCGGTTTAGCGGACTTGATCAAATTGGCTTCTATATAATGTCTTTGATGAAACGAACAAAAATTAACAGAATAAGAAACAAACAACTCTCGTTCTGGATCTTCTTTATCGCGCGAAACACAATAAACACGAATGCGAAATTTCAATATGATTCTGATCGATCGCGTACCTGTATAAACGCAACTCCACATTATGCGGACGCGCGTATTCACAGTATTTCACACAATATTCATTACTGCTATATATATATACTGTCTTTCGAACACTTGAATGAGTTAATGAAACGAACGAAAATTAACAAAATAAACAGCGAATAATCTCCCGCTCCGCGATCTTTTACTGTGCGAGACACAAGATGACATAGTATAGACATATCTATACTCTATGACTATGACGAAAATGCGATAGTTCGATATAGCGGATCAATACGATCGATATAATCGAAAGTCGACGCTCTCGAGATGCCGCGTATTCACAGTATTTCGCACAACCTTCATTACTATTATATACATATATTATTTTTCGAATACTTTATTATAATATGCTTAGCTTTGCCGATATATTTGTTTAGATATTTCTTATTAAATTTTTCCCCTCTTAATTATATTATTCTTAAATGTGACGGCCATCATGCACATACAGGTTAAGATAAAATGTATAGAAACATTTTAACTTTTGACGAATATGATAGCATTTTAATCAGCAAAGTAAAAAGAAAACTAAAACACGTTTTTCTTACCTTTAATAACTTACTAAACTCTGACGTTTGTGTTTGACATTTGACGCTAAATACGACTGATTGATCTTCTCAACTCAAGGTAAAATTATTTCGTACGAGAGGCAAAATGACTAATGATGAAATGCAAACCTTTCCGTTCGAAAATTTACTCATCCAGTACATCGTTCGATCGACCAATCAGAGCGAAGAATTCTGTCGCTTCTGATTGGTCGATCAAGTGTTATCCAGGCGCTTCTGAATGCATTTCGAGCGCCAAAAAAATATAGTGTCGACATCTGTGTTATCAGACATAAACAAAGGGAGCCATTTTGGTCCGTGATATCGTCGACTCTGCGCGTTGTGAAGTAACGTTTACGCGGACAATTACGTTGCATTATAATTGCAAGCTCGACGGCGCGGATGTTAGAGGTTCAAACAGACGGTGATTAACGCGATCGTGACGATTGATAATATGATAATCGGGAGATATACACGTACACTGTGTCACCTTGGATGAAGAGCTCCGGCCGCTCTGTCAGGAGGTTATCTCGCAACCAGAACAGCAGTCGTTTCAAAGTCCCTGCGGATTTTCGTATTATTAATAAGAAGATAGATCTTCCGTCCCTTTAACATACTTACATCCATCGCCAGGTAGGTTCAACTCGTGTCTCTTCTTTTTATCGAACAATAATTCCGCCCCGCCCCTGCAAGCACACGATAGCAATCATTTATCGTCCCGCTTTTCGATTTTTTGACAGCGATAGAATTTTTTATTTTTCCAGTCTTACCCAAACTCTATTGTGACAGGTAGTCCGCTCGAAGACATCGTGAAATGTAGGTTAGTTTTAGATTCCGCGCGCGCGTTCACGGCGTGCTTCGACAATGATCGGCGCTTTCGACGCGGCGAAACGTCACAGTGACGTTTGTTCCACTGTTTATCGCGCGCTTAGAGGGTCATCGACATAGAACGGAAAAACGAAAGGAATTTGACGAATTTTTAATTATATGTACGTCGAGATATATATACATATATATATATATATATGCATATATATATGTATATATATGCTAAGGTAGGATCGATTGTTGCAATAAAATAAAATCACAAAAGAATTTCTATGCGATTTTCCGCATCTGTCAACACGCGCATGCGCGACAGTGGCGTTTTAACCTCGCCGTGTATTTGCTGCGAAATATTTGTACATAGTGCACAAAGATAAAGGTACGTCTTCTGAAATTGGAATTGTAATTAGTTCAACGTGATTTGACTTTCGGTTATCTTTAAAATGACAGTTCTCAAAGAAATTTTCGAGCGAAGTAAAACGTGATTGCTCGGCTTTCGCTTTATATGTACAGCCCTGCAGGTCATTAATCTTGCGAGGATTACGATTCTGTATTGAGAAAAAAAATTCATCCGGTAGTAAAAGCTGTTCCACGTATTCAGAGTTTGTCCTGCCGAATGCAAAAGCGTTCGAAAGCGTTATTTCACGTTGTAAAGTAACCGAGTGGGAATATCGTATATTTACGAACGAGATATATCATTCAGAGGGTGTTCCGCGTAATGGCGGCTGGCGAAAGAGTGTCTTCCATCGCACGCGCTACGTATATTCGCCGGTCCGGCGTATAAATCGATCGGGAAATAAAAACGTCTGCGATTGTGATTATTCGCTAAATCCCGTGATTCCTTCGCAGCTTTCCACAATGTCGGAGAACAGCGAGCACTCGCCGGACGACAACGAGGCGGAGACGAAAACGATAGAGGATCTACCGAACGATTCGTCCAAGAGCGAGGTGAAATTGATGAATCGAACGGACACGGCCATGCTGGAGGACGAGGAAATGCCGACGTACATCAGCGTCTCTAGCACGTCGAGGCGCGACGACTCGGATGCCGTCAACGCGAAACAGCAAGAGAATATGTCTCAGGAGGTGGAGGAAGATTGTAGTCCAAGTCCTTGCCCTAGTGATGGTCAAGCAGCGAACAGTATATATGTTTTATCATCCGAAGAGGATACTGATCAGCAACCTTACAATGATGAGGATGACGAAGTTGAATATGGCGACAGTGATGGTAATTATCATTAATATGAAAATATGCAGAATGACAAATCAATCTTGACATGTATTAAGTTACCTTCGATAAATAGCTAGTTCTGTAACATTGATATATAACTTTTGTGTAGTTTGTATCCTTATAGAGTTGTGATATATATGAAACAATTAGTATTATACATACATATACAATATAATAATTATTGTATTTATAGATATGGAGAATTTAGAGCTTGACAATGAATATGATTCAGAAAATCCAAATAATAAGCATTTAATGGATGAAGAAGATGATGACGAGGATGACGAAGATGAGGAAGATGAGGAGGATGATGAAGATGATGAAGAAGGTTATAGACAAATGCCTAGAAATGATGATGATGAAGAAGGTTATAGACAAATGCCTAAAAATGACGATGATGAAGAAGGTTATAGACAAATGCCTAACAATGATGATGATGATGATGATAACCTTGATCTCCATTGCGATGGAAGATCTGATGATTTTCTTCTAAATAGAAGAATAAAAAATCGAGACAAAGAAAAGAGCCTTTCTCTTCAAGATTTGAGTGTGTACAAGAATAATACTGCATATTATAAAAATAGTCATTTATATGGTTTAAGGCCGAATTACATAAACATTCCACAAAATCCTATAATATATTCCATGTTATCTAAGAAGCAATCAATGGTAGGAAAATATCATCATGTAGAAAGCAAAGTGAAGCGCTATATTAAAGATATAAAAGAACAAAATAGACGTTCTATAGAAAAAAATATGAAGCAGAATCAAGAAAATAACCATAAAAGCAGTAACACTAATAAAAACAGTGATATAAGAAAAATAAAACCTACAGTAGCAAACAAGACAATAAAGGATTATGCCCAAAGAACAATTAAAGAGTTGGAAATTGCAGAAGCGTGTGAGGGAAATAAAGTAACTTACAATGATTTGCCAATAATATTAAATGGTCAAGATAATAAAAATGGCTTAGAACCAATACACGAGCAATCTATACAAAATGAAATTGAAATAAATATATCATCTGAGTCACCGCAAAATGAAAAAAGTCCTGTAAACATAGATAAAATGCAAAAACAGAATGGAACAGTTGAAGCTAAACAATTAAAGTTTAATTTTGATGAAGAAATTTTACATTATGGAAATGCTGTGCAACAATCTGTTATCCCAAATGGTCATCAAGAAATACCAACAATACTTTACGATTTGCGAACATTAAGTTATGAAGAATATATGCATGGCGCTCCTAATTCTGAAAAAATTGATTTAAATAAAAATGCACATGTTGAACAAAAACATGTTCAACCTGAGACATATAATAATGCAGAATTGATGGATGTATCTACAGATCTTGATGATACTGCTTGTTCTTTAAAAATTGAGAATATTAAGAGCATTAAGACAATGACTGATGAAACTAAAAACAATGAACAAGTAAATTCAGACAAAGTAAATGAAGAATATCCTAAGCCTAAGTTAGTAAGCTGTCTAACTTCGTATACTTCAGAACTTACCGCATTGAAAAATCAGTTGGATCAAAAGATGAGAAATATGCTAAATTATATAACACATTACGAGAACAAGTTATGGAAAATTTAAAATTGAAATACACAATAGATGAGCTGACAAAATCTTTAACAAAATATGAGAAAAAAAATAAACCTCGGGAACAAAAAGTTGCATCAATTCAAACAGATATTGTTGATACTGCAATTGAAAACATCAAGATCAAACAGAATCTACTCAAGTGAAACAACTTAACAATAAAGTATTAGGTAATAGTGTCGCCTCGACATTAAGTTCTATAGATCAATGGAGTGACAGTCCTTGTAATTTATCTATATCTATGAAACCACCTGAAGTAGTAAAAACATTACATTCTGATGATAGTATAATGTTAACCAATGGTACACCAGTAAAAACAACACGTTCACTATCTCGCACATTTATTACTTCGTCTCGAATTTTACAAACTATTTCAAATATCACACAAGGGAAATCAAAATTAGAAAGTCCTTTAGTACAAAATTCGAAGAGAAGATTAAGTGAGAATACATCGATGGAGCTGCAAAATGATGATGGTAGTTGTCAAATCGTCAATAGTAGTTGTCGACCTTCTAGCTCTAAGAAGAGGAAGATTACAGATACTCTTCAACCACCTAATTTTCTACCTTACAAATCTTCTCAAACTACTACAGAATCGCATCTAAAATTAAATGAAATGCTTAATGACTCACAGCTAAGACGCTCATGCGGTTTAGTAAATGAGAAAATGGAATCACAGGAAAATTCATCTAATATCAACACAAGCCAATTAGGAACTGCTACTTCTACAGCAGAAAACGTAACAGAAACAGCGGATGATCAAGAGGACAATGTAAAATGCTTCGTATATCATGAGAATGAAAATAGTAAAGATCATAGTTTTCTAATTATAGCAAAAGAGCCTGGAAAAGAAAAGGCTGTTAATAATGAAAGAAGACGAGAAGGTGGTCCATATATAGTTGGCAACATAGAAGTAAGAATGTCTGAAATAAATGGAACAATCAACATCTGGGGCAAAGAAGTAAGTAACTTTATAAATTAAAATTATGTTAAAAGATATGCACACATCCTAAGATCTTGTCATATTTATCTTAAAATGTATTTTTCAGATCAGCCAAGAATCCACAGCTGAAATTGAAAATGAGATAGAGACATCGACTAAAGAGAAAGATGATAAGAAATATCACTGCTGGCAAAAGACACCACATACTAGATTTAATGGCAGTAATTTAGTATGTTCAACAAGTAAAAAATGCAAAACTCCCCCTACATTTGACTTCTCTTCAGCTGCATCTAATTTTTCATGTGCACATTCACCTTCGTTTAACATTGCAAAAGCATCTTGTTCAACAGATAAAGTACATGCGGATACTTTACTTAGTCCAAACGCATGTATTTCCTCTTGTGAAGATTGTGAATCGTCAAAAGATCGTAAAGAATGGCTAAGATATAAGCGACGTAGCCAAGAGAAATTACATTCCTGTTGTATTCATAATGTAGATGTGTTAGAACAGAATTGTTCCTTACATAAAGAAAAACAGAAATTTGAAGATAATTTAAATCGTAGCAAAGAAAAATTAAACACCAGGGAATGTCGGCGAAGTTTTTCAAGAAATTTAGAACCTAACAAGCATAAAAATATTAAACCTTCCACAGAAGAAACCACATGTAAATGCCACACATGTCACGACACGCTACACGATCCAGGAGAAACTTGCCAAGAGAACCACAAATGTTATAATACGTTAAAAGGAACATGTACATGCGAACCGTTGTCGACGAGTACAGATCGAGAGTATAACGAATCATGTAATCACCTTTCTCCTAATTTACATGAAGAAGAACCATTAATAGGATTTAAACAATGTAGCGAAACACCAGAGGTAAATTGGTGATAATTCTATTCCAATATTTTTTAAGAATTTGCGATTATAACTATAACTATTTTCTGCTTGTAGACAAGACGACGAAGATTAACTGGAAAAAGAGTACGAGGAATTTTAATGGATCTTTTACGAGGATGTGGAGATTGTTACAATTCCAATTCATCTAATAGTAACAAAAACTGTATGCACAAGAAGGAAACTCATTTAACGAATTGTCCTCCACAAATCAAAATTACGCCATGTACATCTCCGGAACCATCATGTTCAAATCCAGGACAACCTGGAAGGTGTGTTTTTATCTACAAATATTTCCTAACAATTTTTTCAATCTATATATAATTTTCCAAAATTATATATATGATAACATGTAAATATGTAGCATTATTATTTATAAAATTCATAATCAATTTTTCTTAGCAAAATGTTTGAAATTTTGTGCTTTCATAAATATTAAAATATTATTTAAAATATAAAATATTTGAATTATTAAGATCGTTTTATATATTGGTTCACAGATGCTGTCATGCTTATGCACAGCGAATTGAATCTCAGCTGGAAGAATTTCGAGTTGAAATGGAAAGAGTGCGATCGCGTTCAGATGCTATTCTTAATATGCTCAATATGCTTCATTCAGATACAAACTAAAGAATTCATATCTCCAAATGTTAAGTATTCCTTTTTCATATGTATATATATATATATATCATCTTATTTGAATTTTTTAATTATCAATTACAATATCATGTCACATTCTACTTTATATATCATATTTTTGTCATTTTTTCAACATATTTTTCTTTAATCGATTATTACAGTACTATCTTATGCCAAAATTTATTTACTTCATTGCTTATAATATAAGTATAGTCAAAGATTGTTAAATAAAAATACATATATAATGAGAAAGGTACATTTGCATTCAATATGTGCATTTCTAATAACATACATGCCATTTTTTGTTAAAATTTCTGATATAAATTAATGCTTTACTATATCTATTTATATAGCAGTTTTTATATGAAAATAGTCCGTGAAATAAATGTACGTGTATAAAGGAAATATCAAATTGAAAATTGCTATATAGTGATATACATAGCTTTTGATTTTACTTTTTATATTTTATGTACCGTTCATAATTTACACATATATTTATAAATATAATGATAATATAATTATAAATCAACTTTATCAATTGTTTATTAAAATGTCATATTATTTAGAATATAAATGCACAAGACTTGTATGTTACATGGAAATAGTATATTTTTAATTTCGTTGTGTTTCGTTATGAACAAAAATATATCATTATTATTGAAAGATTATATGTGTATACACATTTTTATATAGTTCAGCAATCACAGGAATCGTCTCCTGGCAAATACCTGTTGGTGTTTCTCCTTGACCAAGAAAGATATTACTATAAGAAGTCTTGAGATAATTTACATGACCTTGTAAGGATTTTATGCGGCCTTGCGCGTGTTTAAATGCCTCGTTCAAATTATTTATTTGACTCTGCATCTTTTGTCTGATCTACATGCATTAACAAAAAAAGCAGATCGTAATAAATATATCATTGTCCCCGTTAAAATTTTCACTTTATATTCGCAATCGTTACCTCATCTCTATCACGTTGAGCTGCGCGTGCTGTTGCTCTACATTGTGCTAATTGTCTTTCCATTTCAGCGATCTGGCCTTGCATCGATCTTCGCATAGTTTCGCATCGCTCCTTCGTTCTTGCTACTTGCCGAGCGGAATCCTCTCTTATCTTAAAGTTAAAAAGGAAATCCAATTTTTCTCCTTTTGTCATAAAGTCAACACATGCAACAACATATACCTGCTCCAACGTCGATGACAACTGCGTGTTCTCGTGCATTTTTTCGTCAATTCGTTTTTGCAACTGCGCTTCATGTTCCTCAAATCGTGTTAATGTGTTTTTCATTCTCTCATTTTCATGTCGCAACTCGCTACATTTTCTATCTATTTCATCCGACTTAGTGGAGTCATTCTATGTAAGTTGATTAATTATTTTTTATTAAAAATATTGAAGTTTTTATTAGGCTGATAAATGACAACCTGAAGTGTCTGATGATCGGTGCGCAACACGTCCAATTGATTTTGCAAAGTTTGAACCTTATCCTTACATTCCAGCAATTCTCGTGATAGATCCTCGCAGTTGCGTTCGGCGACTAAACGCATCTGTTGTGCTTCCTGCATCTTAATTTGCATTTGTTTCAGGATATCGGGTAATGGCGCAAGTTCGGCTAATTTTTCTTGAAATTGATTCTGTCACATTAACATATATATATATATATATATATAGAAGGAGAATTTTGCTTTAAATAATCTTAATAACAAATCGCAGTAACATTAATGTTTGATATACTTTAACTCGTCCAATTTCCAGAGTAACGTTCTCATTCATTCGCGCATTATCCATTTCCATAAGATCCAGTTGTCGACGCTGTTCTTCAACTTGTTGCTGGGCCTAATTTAATTTAATTATTTCAGATTTAAAACTGTTTACGTTGGGAAATAATTAAGCCGGATAAAATTCAGCTAGATAAATTGAAAGGCTAATACCGACTTGCAAATATTTGTTGCGATAATCCTCCAATTGAGCAGCTTGATCCTGAATCAAAGAACGAAGCTCCTCTAGCTCATCCTGCGCTTCACGAAAGCGTTGTTTCGCTACTATTAAAGCCTGTTCCTGTTCGATTAACTGTTCTTTGTGACCTGTTTCGAAATTAATTTGCATTTTATACTTTGTGCATTCAATTAGAAAAATCTATTCCACTGTTATTGGTTCTTTAAATAAGAGACTTTATAACACAAAAAGTTACCTTCAAATTTTTCTTTTTCTATTTCTAGAAGTTTCAATCGTTCCTGAGCATCTATCAACTTTATCTCCATTCGTTCTTTTTCTTCCTTTGCATCGCGCATATCCTGTTTGAACTTCTCTGCATCTGTTCTCATGCATGATACCTCGCACAACTTGTTCTTATAATCATCCTGAAGCCGAGCATATTGTTCGCGAAGATCGCGTAATTGCTGTTGAGCGGAAACACTGGTGCCCTGTGATCAGAGATACTCTACTGTGATTTTATATAATTAATTTTTTTCCATTATAGTCTTACCATGGCTGCATTTGTACAGGAACCAGTCGCCTATATTCGATAAAAAAAAATTTTTTTTCTCTACTAATTAGTAAATTTTTCGCATGACGAAGAAAACGAATAACAAAATATCATAGCTTTTAATTATGCAAATTATAATCGCAGTACAGAAATATATCAGCAAAAATGAAAAATGTGTAGAATCTCGTATATGTTGTTAGAAACACGAGAATCACTTAGGGAATTTATTAAATAAAAAATAATCAAAGAATTGTACAGGTATCTGAGCGGAAGGCACAGCAGGTCCTGGCGTGGTGGGTGTCACGCATGTCGAGGGCGGAGGTGGACAAGGACATGGTGCACAAGGTCCGGTGCATTTAAGCAATTTACGTTGCTGTTCTAGTTGCTGTCGCTCTCGTTGCACGTTTGCTAATTCCATCTGCATATTACGTACCTCGGTTTCTATACTGCCTAATTGTTGTTCCTGAAGAAACATGAAGCGATATCTTTAAATTTGCTCGATTAATGTTTTTTTTACACATTAAACATTGACTGCAGAATATATATTATTATCTTATATACATATTTGATACATGGGCAAGGACTGCAATAGAATATATTTTAATTGCAAAAGAAAGAAATAGAAATTTATCTAGAAGTATGATATAATTATCATTTTATTGCATATTTTTATAAAAAATATTGAAATGTCTGAACAAAAATTTTCTATTATTTTTCTTAGATTTTCCTCTACTTACTACCTTGGAAAAAATCACAAGATTTTTCACAATTTAAGACTTACCAATTGTTTAGAGCTAGTACCGTAAGTGGCAAGTTTATCTTCCAATTCTGCGGGGCACGTTCCTCTAGGAAGCGGTGGCCTAACGACAGCTAGACCACGGGAAGTCATCACGGTTTGCAAAGAATTATCTACGAAATAACGATCGTCCGTTTTCGAGCCACCTCCTGTAAGTCTTGGTGAATCTGAAGATTAAACACTCAGTGAAAGAATTTCTTAAGAATTCTCTGCAAACTTGATTTTTCAACATAATTATAAACTGTCTCGACATATATTGGATTATTTCTCAACTGACAGACTATATATTCGATAATTATATACTGTCTTACTGCATGCGGTTTCCGTAGTCGGTGATAAAGCATCAACGAACTGAAGACAGCATTTGCATCGATAGTAAACGTCTTCTCCAAGCTGCGCACTAACATGCGGACGGAATGACAGCGGTGTTGATGGAGGAGACGAAGCAACACCTGGACAGGTGTAACAGCAAGTAGGTCTAATCACTAGTTGATTCAAAGTAGCCAATTGACGACTCAGCTCCGTATTTTCTTTGACAATTATACGCATTTCTGCCTGAAGAGCGCATACCTTCCTCTGTAAACTCTCTAGAGCGGTATCTTTTTCCAACAAGGCTTCTTCTAGTTTGTACCTGTTTATATATGGAAAAACAGGGCTTTCTATACAGTCTTTATATAGTAGTTCTCTTCTGTCTGCTTTGCTTTAAAATTGGACAAAAGTATAGAATATTGAATTAAAATTTAATTATAAAATTTTTTCTAAATGAAATAATCATTTTATTATTATGAGATCAATATATCGGGTTACATTTAAATGACGTATGAATATGAATGACATTGCTTCAATGTCTGAAATCGTCGCCGAGGGAACGGTATAACTTTCAAATATTTTTCGACCTTCTATTATTCCACTATATAAATATAAAACTATTGAATATTTAAAAATAATCTTTTGTAAGCCGAATATTCTGAAAAGATTGATCGGAAAAATTGTTCTTTTTATTTTATTTAAATGTATAATCATCCTAAGTTAGATTTAATTCTATATATGTAAATTTTGTTTTTAATTTATAGATTTTTATCTAAGATGTAATTTAAAAATCTTGACGTTTTATATTTACGCTATTATCAAATCTTTCGATATAATCAAATATGAGACATTTCTATCTTATGCATAATAATGATTTTATCTATTTATGGATATAAATTTTTATACACGCGTGTAAGTGTGATATTTTTCACATACAAAGTATAATCAATTTCCTTTATATTTATTTAGAATTTATGATATAACAAAAAAATGAGCATACTTTCCACCTTCCAGTTGTGCGTTTTCCTTAGCTAATTTTTCTTGCATTGTTAAAGATTCCGTCAGTTTTCCAGTTAATTTTTCAAGACACTTTTCTTTCCCTTTTCGTTCACCATCTGCTATGACGATTTTTGGAAGCACATCTTCCGTATAGCCACAAACAATTACTCTGGGAAGCCTAATTCCACGACAAAAAATACACGATAGAAAGTATTTCACGATATTAATTAATAGTATTTTTAACTTACTTATCTTCAGGATATTCTATTTGTGGTAATTCAAAGCGATCTTCCTCTGGAATCTTTTTTAATGGTTCTACGTCTATTTTCTCCTCAACTTCTTCCTCTTTTTTATTACAATTTCTTCTATCTCGCCATTTGAATCTTGATCCGTTCTACTTCTTCTCGCGCCTGCAATATGTGTACCCGTATTACATCTTTTTATTAACACGCGTTGTTATTATATAGAAGCGTATTTCGTGTCAAGTTTATATCGCGAAAATATAATTATGTGTAAAATAATTTAATACAAAATTGTACTAAATTTATAATACTTTTTGAACTTTTTGTGTCAATTGTTCGAGTTCGGCTATTTTTGATGTAAGAATATCTTGCTTCTCTTGAATAATTAATGTGTCTTGCTCTGTTAGTTCGGGTTTCTGTAAGATAAAAAGAATAAATAATAAATTATAAATATTATTAATTAATATAATCTTTCAAATATTAATATATAACAGTGAAATATATTATACATCTGATAACTCGATCACTTCACGTTTTAGTTTTTGAATCTCATCTGCTAATATAATGCATCTCTCATTCATTTCTTTTAGTTCTGTAATTATATCATCATTTAAAAGAGGCGAGCTGATTATTGACTCTGTAATGTCGTCAAATTTTATTTCATCGTCTAAAATTTTGAATCATACTTGTACTATTTTTAAACAATCACGATATATCTATATAAATTTTTTTATTCTAACAATTAGAATACATACCTTTTACTACATCAGATGGAATAGAATAGGATAAAGGTTTTTCTTTCAAATCACTTTTATCTTCAACTTTGTCTTTGTCATCAGTCTTATCTTCTTCAACTCTGTCTTTGTCTTTATCTTTACCTTCTTTTTCTTCGTTTTCATTTTTCTTTTCAATTTTGTTTGTATCTACCGCAAGATCTATCGTTGCAGTAGGTGCTTCGTCTATGATAGCTTCCTTTTCAGGTTGCTCTTCTGGTATTTCGCTGTCTATTATTTCATTTTCGGCCATAGTTCTGTAGATACATTATTGTCTTATACTTATAATTAGAATATTAATTTGATATAAAAGTATTATGGGAAAAAAATAAATTGTTACACTGGATTATTTTGTTGATTGTAAATTAAATCGTTTTGCTGTAATTTTCGTGATGATTTTGATACTTTTGTCTGGAAATTTTTATTTGTTTTTATTTGATTTTTTACATTCTCTTCTTTTGTTCCCTCATGTTCTTTAAACTGAAAAGATTTTATTAATTTTATATTACGCGAAACGTACAAGTTATCTCATCTTTATCTTATTATTATATTATATTGAATGATATTTTGACTGTTGTGAAATTAATTCTCCTTTAGAAAAATTTAGAAGTATAATCAATTAAATAATTAAAGATTAAAAGTAATTAGGATTTTATGTCATTAAGATATTAATGACATATTATTACCGATTTGAAAATATGTTCGTTGGAATTTGTTTGTTGCGAAAACGATTGCAAAAATAACGTTTCTATAAGAAGAGGTTCTGATTTTGTAGTATTAGAAACTTTGAATAATTTTTCTTTACAGAAATTTAATGCTAATGGATACGCATCGCGCAAATTCAAAGATTTTTTTAAATCGAAAAGAGATTCCAGCGATCCAAACACATCCTCTTTCAAGCACGATGTATTGCCATAATATTTATTATTTTGCTGAAGTTTGGGTAGTTTCGTTTCGAATTTCGTCCTTTTGAATCGTGAATGCTTTTCGCTCTAATCGGAAAACGTTCGTGGGTATAACACTTTTGTGAAAGAGAATAGCTTTTTGCATGCAATCGTCGTTTCTGCAATAGTAATAATTTTTAGAAACATCTTATTCATAATTTTTATAATATTTTTATGTTAATAATTATTAATAATTATCTCCTAATTAGATTTAAATGTATATTTAGAATAAAAAGTAGACATATTTTATAATTACAAAGCAATATAAAATATAAATACGTATTTTTAATATATATTAAATATAATTCGATTTATATAAGAAAGAGCACTATATATACAAATTTTTGAAAGAAAAAGCACACGTAAATATTTTATTCAAAAACATTAATTTTACCTTCATATTTTTACCTTCGAATTAAAATTGTTCTCGATCTCACGAAATATATTATATTTACGTATAGTGTGAACAACCTACAAATTCTTCAGTACCTCCCGTAATAAAGTTACATATTATATTATCAAACTGTGGCAATTTAAATATATTTGGAAAGAGTATTTTTGCGTGACTTTATCAGAAAGATATATTGTAAAATATAATATAATCTTATTAAACATATATAAAAATTAAATGTCATATAATGACATCATATATTTTACTCACTTCAAAATATTTCATACTCGCAACGCGTATTCAACTATTTTTATTTTTATTTAAAAATATATTTAAATATCTTTTTTTCATCTCTTTTTTAAAATATAATAAAGAGAAAATAAGAAAAGTGAGAAAAAAGAAAAATTTTTTAGATTTTTGAATAATTTTGAATTTATAATATGATTCCATTTTTATACACTAATTATGTATTCTTTTATTAATTTTTTTCTAGTTTAATAATTTTATGTCAATCAATTTTTATTCGTACATATATTTATTTTTTGCTTTATTTGATATATATATTTTTTTTTTTCGCACGTATATATATATATGTATATACATAGACATATATATTTTTTTAATTTCATGAACAAGATACGTACTTTATATATATATTATTAATATTATTATAATATTATTATTATTTTTTATAGATACATAAAAATAAAACTATTCTTTTAAATTTTTTATTTTCTATCGAAACGCGCGCAATATACATATAGCGCTCCATTTTGCACATGCTTTCATTTCATAAGTTTTGTTGCATTTTTTGGTTATCGCATTGATATATTGATTCTACTAGTTCTAATACGCTTTTACTATTATATATGTATTTTAACTTGTATGTGTATTATTCAATAAATTGTGTACTTGTAGTATATTGACAAAATCATTCGTATATACTTTCATTCATACATGTGCACTGCCAGTTAATGGAATATATAGCCAATGCGCTATATGTATTATGTGCCATTAAAATAGAGCAATTAAAGAGCAAAATCTTAAAATAGAGAAAATTAATTGTAATTAATTATAATTTGACTTATCATCTTTGCCTGCATAAATATTTTACAACCGGCTGATATTCTTCTATGTTGTTGTTTACATCTCGATTACGAGATAAAGGTTATGGAATACAGTAAGTATAAAATATACAAATATATTAATATATATATATATATGAAAGTATATATATTAATTATACATGCAACTAATAATTATGGAGTTTAAAAAAGCAAGTGATTTTTTCTCCTTTTGTTTTTAATATTTTCTATTTAGAATCAAACTCTACTTATAACTACAATTATAACATTATTATTGTAGACGAAAATACAATGCAAATAGAAGAAGAGGAGCAACAAATCGTAGAAGATGAACATGAAGATGAACAAGTTTCTCATAATGAAGTGCAAGATAATGAAAATAATGTTCCAACTAACAGTTCACAGTCAAGTATGTTTTAATAATAATTATATTGTAGGAGTAATATTTGATATTTATATCTATGTTTATAGTTTTATTTATATAAATATGTTTAAATCCACAGCAAATGCAATAAATGAAAATTTGGATATTTCGAATATAGACTCTGATCAAGCATGCCCAATTTGCATGGAACAATGGACTAGTTCAGGAGAACATCGCTTATGTTGTTTACGCTGTGGACATTTATTTGGACACAGTTGTATCCTGAGATGGCTACAATATTCTTGCAATAGTACAAATCGTCGTTGTCCACAATGCAACAAGAAAGCTTTAGTAAAACATATTAGAATGTTATATGCAAACAAATTGACAGCACTAGATACTGTTGAATATGACAAAGTGAAGAAGGAATTACTTAATGTAACAGCTGAAAAGAATCGTATACAAATGGAATTATCGCAGTATGATATCCGTTTGAAAGTGTTTGATCAGCAAATGGCTTCCATGAAGAAACGCATTTCCGAACTGGAAAGTCAACAATCTGAGATAGATATTCATGTGAATCAAAATACTTCGAATCCTTCCACTAGAAAATTTCATCTGGAACGATCCATAGAGATTTGCAAAGAGGGTGCATGTCGTGTTCTAGATTTTAATCCATGGTATAAATTTTTGGCTATTTCTCAGAAATCAACGAACACACTGTTCAATGGATATGGCATAAGGAAGATTGAGTGTGAATACTTCCAGTCACAACAATTTGTTTTCTTACACACTCAGGCCATAAGAGATGTAACTTTTCATTCTACACAACAAATGCTTCTTCTGAGTGTTGGTTTTGATAAATGTGCAAAACTAATGGACATTCAAAATAATACAATAGTGCACTCATATCAAACAGAATATCCACTTTGGAGTTGTTGCTGGTCAGGTGACAATCCACACATTTTCCTAACTGGTGCACAAAATGGATCCATTACTCAATTTGATATCAGACAAACTTCTGGTGCTGTTAGTGTCTTAGATGGTCAAGGTGACAGATCACCAGTTGTATCAATGGCAACAGTACCGCCAAATCCTAGTAGTGGTATCAGTAGGGGTGGATTTATAGCGTGTCGCTTTCATACGTGTTATACATATGAAATTAAAGACACTATATATTTACCCAAACAAGTATTTTTGGAAGGTCCCTTTGTTTCAGTACGTTATGACGACAAAAATCATCATTATCTCATATCATCTCGTCCTAATGCTAGACAACCACATACAAGACATGTAGTGTGTACTATTGAAAAAAATTTATCTAATGAAGAAGTAATTATGTGTAATGCTGTACATACATTCCAAGCTGGTAGTTCTCAAAATCTTTTATCTCGACCATGTCACTTATATGCAGAAAATGACACATTAGTTGCAGCACATATGGAATCAAGTAGTAATATATCATTGTGGAGTACAGCAAGTGGCAAACAATTACATAGTCTTCCTGTATCAGATGCTGTTATGGATCTATGTTCGTTTGAAGTTAATAAGTATTTATTTTTAGCAACACTTTCTGCAAAAAGACTTAGACTTTATAATTATGGACAATTAACATAAAGTACAAATATATACAATATAATATATACAATGTCTGCCTCTCCATTTGCTGTGTGTGATACTTTGCATGAGACAACCATGTCTCCTTGTATAATATTATGACAGACTGAATTGTTAAATATATTTTCTTTTCTTTTTTTTGTACTGTAATAATATTATATGCATAAAAACTCTTTAATTAATTTAGAAAACAAATATATAATAAATTTGCTTACAATATATAATTTTTTATTATTTCTATAATGCATTTTATCAAATTCTTTCTATATTTGAAATCCTTTTGATGTGATAATTTTATAAAATATATAGGGATATAATTCTTAAAATATTTGAATTAACCTAGAAATTACTTGTGATAAGGATCATTATTTTTAAATTAATTATATATTGCAAAAATTGTAATATTATAATAATATAATTAGAAAAGAAATTTTTTATAAAAAATTTTTACTATATTTATTGCATGCATGTTCTGCTAAATAATAACTAAATTTATTGAATATTCTATTTTACTATAATAATTTATTCCATTTTTGTATACAATATTAAGTTATATTTATGTTCAAATCAAGTTAAACAATGCTTTATCAGAAACAGAAAAAATCTTTTTAGTAACTTGAGAACTAAGAACTGTACAATAACAATAGCAACTTTACACAGAAGTATTTTCATGTACCACTTTATTTATATATATAGAAAATATATTTGGAGAGAAAACCATTTCCAACCTATGTAGTTAAATTCTGAGATATTTTATATAATTTAGTATTAAATGATAATATAGAGGAATGAAAATTGAATATTAATCTTTCTTGCCAAAAAGAAGAAAAATTAATATAATCAGACTAGAGTAAAATAACACTTTCTATATTTTTCAGAAAATATATACATAATATATATATTATATACATTTATATATATATATATATATATATATATATATATATATATATATATATATAAAGAAATCTCTATTATATATATAATAAAAGGAAATCACTTTGTGTTTGAAGAGACTAATTTAATTAGAACAATGAAAAAAATGTATTTATTTTTTTATCTTATATTGAACATTACAATAATTAAAACATCAAAGAGTGAAATTGGTTTTCATTCATAACTCATATATAGAATCATATTCTATTAGCTAAATGGTTAAAAGAAATAGATAAAGAGCACAACAGTCTTTGTACAATCGACTGATATTTATGATTTTTAAACGGTGAATGTTGAAATGTGACAATTAATATAACAAATTAATGAATCTATGATTAAATTTTTATCATCTTAGTACAACGCATATGATTTAACATTTGATTGTACAAAAAACTATGCATTTATGCATCATATACATTATTATACAAATAATGAGCTAATTAAATTTTCATTTTCTAGTTATTCCTCTTATTTTATGATTTATTACAAATTAGTCGTCAAATTAATCATCTGTTTTGGATTGAATATAAAAATCAGAAATAACATGCTTAATTTATTTCAATCTTTTCTAATTTTTTTTAAGTTTTGTAATATAAAATTTAATAAAGATTAAATAAATGCCTGAATTTGGAATGTACACTGCATGATACTGATATAAAAAGAATGATAGGATATATGTACCTGCAAATACATATATATCCGTAACAGACAATTTCACCCCATCTCATTATAAGCCAACACCATTATAAACCAGAAATATACAAATGTAAGATATTAACATTGAAGCGATTAAGTGAATCTTTTTACAAGTCATATACTATTTCAATAATATACAATTGGTTTTCTGCTAAATTATAGATTTTTCTATTCAAAGAGTTTTTTTGCACATATGTATAAAAAAATTCAATAATTCAAAATATTGTGATCAATATATGTATATCCAAATGTATATCCTATATATAAAAAAAAAGAAAACCATATTTTTTTTCGAATATATTTCTATTATAACATAATTTCTGCATTAAGAATATAAATGCATAAACACATGTAGCTTGTCAGCAAAATTTACGCATTATTGATATCAAATTATAAATTAAAGACGTTGCAATCAAATACTTAAATACACATTTGAAATACATCCAGTATCGTGAGAATATGTATACTAGACTTTACTGAAAGTTCAATATCCTTAATACCTTAATTTCAAGATCTGTAATGTAGAACATCAAAAGCTGACAAAACCATAAAAAATTTGACAATACACAAAAGAAATAATATGCATTTATATCAAATTTGTGATATACTATGAATTCTTATGTATATACAAGGAATTAAAAATATATTATTTTTAATTTTATATCTCATATGTTATATGACTGAACAGATTTTATTTTTTAAACAATAATATGGAATTTCAGCAGAATATGATAAAACAATATATTATTAAAAAAATATTTGAAATTTATTTAACCGATTCATATTATGCTTTTTATTAATTATTTCTCATGCCTATGTTATAAATTAATTAATTAATGACTATTGGTGGATATTGAATAGCTTTCCTGATGATGTTTTTTTAATCAGATATTGTCACTGTTGGTGCAAAATACCAATTGCCAAATCACTAATAATATCAATATCCGAATGATTATTACAAGAACTTCTTAATGACAAAATGAATGGTGCTTGGATGTAACAGATTAGCTATGCAGTTATCACTAACTGAAGAGGCAGTGCTCGGTAGCGCGTTCTAAGTCCCAATTATATGAGGATAGAGCAACTCTCGCATTATGTTCTTCGATTCCCATATCTGTTAATCTTCTTATTTTCTCATCTAAATCAGGCATTTTTGCTGGTCCTGAAATTGACATATATAAATCATATTTAGATTCAAATATTATATATATGTGTATATATATAAATTTATGTATAGAAATATATCACGTACCACCTGCATATACAAATGTCCAATGTGTAGCAGTTTGACGAAACATTTCGGGATGTTCTTTATATTGTTTAGCAACTACTGCATCTTGAGGATCGTCAGGTTCTGCTGCAGATAATAATGCTTGTAATGACAGTAATACCGTACGCAGAGTCATTGCAGCAGCCCTTAAATATGAAAATAAAAATGTAAGTGTACATTGTAGTCTTAATATTATATATAAAAAAATGTTCTATTAATATTATAAATATAATCCTAATACTTTTACTTAGCATGAAAACGGATGTAAGATAGAATGATAATAGTGACTACATATGTCACATTTTAAACTTGATAAAAATACATACCATTGATCTTTCAAAATGTCCAAACAAATAGCACCAGTGACAGAAGATATATTAGGATGCCATATTTTTGTTATAAAACGCACCTACAAAATAAGAATCTTATTATTTATGCTATGTAAAATTTTTAAATAAAATCTATTAAATATCTTTTATAAACATATTTATATTTTTTTAAGAAAGAATATAAATAAATAATAACTTTATCTATTATAATAGTTTAATAGAATAGCTAAAAATTAATTATATAATTACTAATTAAGTTTGTAATAGATTCATAATATTTGTATTATAATTTAACTTCTTTTATATATTGTATGTAATAGAATTAGAAATAATAGAAACATTAACTGCACAAATAATTTTACAGATTCTTCAAAAATATTAACTTACTTTGGGAGGATTGAATGGATATGTCTCGGGAACTTTTATTTCGAGCACAAAATTACCTCCTTCGTATGGTGTATCTGGTGGACCAGCAATTTCGCCCTTTAACTCGGTAAGACTATCGTTGACCAATTCAACTTTAATCGCACATTTCGCTATCTATTACAGATATTAAATAAAGCATTAGAAAATGAAATTGCTACAAATATTTATTGTAGTTTTGCTATATATTAATTTGGAATATTGTATATGGAATATCAAAATTTTTTAATATATTTTATATATGTTAGTAAGCATAATAAAAATAGTTTAAAAGATATATTATATTATGGAAATAAATTGAATTTATATGCAATTTCTTTAGTCAAAAAATTAATGTAAATATAGTCATACTTTAGAAAAGATAACAAACACTAATGAATCAAAAACCCAGTAAGTAAATATAGAAAATAATTTTGTAAAATGTTGTTTAATACATATATATTTAAAGAACACAAAAATACATTATAAAATACATTAAATATATTGCACAAACTGTCGAGAAGTATACAAAAAAATTGATAAAAATGATAACGATGTCCTCATGAATCTAAAAACAATTGAAGTTTAGGAAGCCCTCAAATCATAGTAGTGTAGCAATGCAATGTTTTGGACAGTTTCAACATGACACTTGTTTTTTAATCATCTGTTTTTCTGTGAGTAAAATATAAAAAATGATTACACGTCATTGCAGCATGGATGAAAACTTATGAGAGAGGGATCCAACATATTGCCAAACTATGCTCTTTCAAGATAAAGTTTGTGTGTGATCCTACGTCATAATTTTCGTAATAATTTTCTAAATAAAAACATGTGATCATAACCTATGACATTTAGTATGATAAGAGAAATCTCGACTGCTCATAGTGATAATTCACAAAACTGTTACGGTATGGCATTTGTGATGCCTTGACGTAATCATCTTCCTGAAGAGGCACATGCGGATACATTTTATCGCAACAAACTTTCATGTGAGCACACAGAATGAGCAATTTGAAAAAGTGTAAAGCTACTCAAGGATCACAATGCAATCGAGACTTTAGACAGCATGGTGAGTGAACACTTTTATTCCTACATTCATCATTTAAATAGATTATTGATGTACAAAATAAGATGATTATCGTACACACTCGACACATGAATACATACATGATTCATAAACACATGATGCTCTCTACATAAAAACACGCATCGAGAAGAAAACAATCCAATAGAAATCATTTAATTGCTACGAAATTAGTTTTAACAAAATGTTTTGGAGACGCAACAGACAATCAACATTCTTTCTCTGTCTCTCTCTCTCTTATCGGATATTTATATTTATAAATGACAGTTGACAAGGCACGACACAACAGATGATCGGCGATATTTTTCTTCGATGATTGATCGATGGAGATCGCGGATTACAATTTTGCAATACGAGACTCTCGGCCGCAAAAAGATTGCATAACCGCGATACGGATTTTTTATCTCTCTCTCTCTCTCTCTCCCTCTCTACATTTCTGTTTCTCTCCATGTGTTGACCTTTTCGCCGAGTCGCTTACCTCCTCGCTTTTTATAACCTCTTTGAATTCCCGTTTGATTCGCTGCGCCGCGATGTTCGCCATGGCTCCGGGATCGCCTAGGGACGGTTAGCACGATATCATTGTCGCTCGCGAAATGAATGAACGCTCTCGCGTCGATCACGCGTTCTCTCGCGCAGCAGCCGAGAATCGTCGCGGCATACGAAACGTCGTTTCTTTTTTCGCGCGATGCGTAAATGAAATATCCGCCTGCGGAATTTTTGCCTGTCACCCCGTGAAAACGGCCTTCCCTAACCCGTGGCCGAGAAAACTCACGCACGCCGCCGCGTTACTTACATACACATGCAACAATTTATCATCATCGCGATCAGCGCCGCCGGCGCCACATTGATAGGCAAAAGTTGACTGTCACCCGCTTCTCGCGCCCGCTCGTTTTGAATTTTGTCTAGATTCACGTCGCGCCGCGCCACGGCGCCCTTGCCGAATCGCCTACAAATATGTAGATTGCGATATACGCCCCGATATTTCGGCGGTTACATGTGTACTCGCCGAATTAGATATTATTTTTATTTATTTTTTTTTTAGTTTTTTGAAGGAATTTTTTTTTCGAAGAGATTAATAGGAATAGAATGAAATTCATAATAATAAATTTATTAATATAATAATAATAATATAATATTATAAATAATAATAATAATAATAATAATAATAACAATAAATAATATAATTAAAAATGTAATAATAATGTGAAATAAAATTATCTTATAGGTTATAAAACGAAAAAGGAAATATCCCGAGACATACCGCGTGTCGAATAATTTACAAACCGGAATATCGAAGAGACGCTGAAAAATAAATAAATCAAAATAAAATAAATAACGCGGTATATATTGTCGTTTGACAAAGGACATCCGGCTCGCGGGGAGCGGAAACACGTGCGCGCGATCTGTCGCGAAAATCGCGCGTCCGCGCAGGTGATTCGACGCAAACAGGCTGAATAAAAAACGCGAAAAGGAATCCGAGAATGCGGACAAAAAAAGACGGAGAAGGCGCAAAAGAACGCGAGAGAGTCCCCGCGTATCGATCATTGACGACGCGCCCTTCGCAAGAGCCGGAGCATCGAGAGTGCGCGCGCGCGCGCTCAGCTGATGTCACAACTGTCGGCGGTGAATATCTCATATATATATACGTATTTTTATTCGCGATACGTAAATCGCTCGAAGACGTAAGCGCCTTTATCGCAAAAAAGAGAAAGAGAGAGAGAGAGATAACGGCGTTTTCGCTAGTCTTTCCGCCGAATTAAGCAGGGAAAATTCCTCGATAAGCTAATATAACCACACGCGCTCGTAGGCGGAGCGTGAAGCTGGACGACGTCACGTCCGGTACGGAGACGGCGAGCAGCGATTGGCCGACCGCCCCGGTGCTTTCTGTTTCAGTGATGCCCGTGTCGCAGCCAGTGCGTGCCAAGAGTTTGTTACGCGCAAACTTGGAAAATTCACGGGTGCGTGGCCTACAGAGCAGAATGCCGAATATCAAGGTCTTCAGCGGGACCTCGCATCCTGATCTCGCCCAACGGATCGTCGATCGACTCGGTATCGACATCGGGAAGGTTGTCACAAAGAAATTCAGCAACCTCGAGACATGGTAATATGGCCCTTACTACCACGTTATCCCGCGCCTAACGCGCGCTCCGTCTCGAATGTCATGTTTTTATACGAGGTCTTAGCGAGGTAACCGTGACGTGTCATTTCGCGTGGATCGCGTATCTTCTCCTCGGCGGAGCTCCTCGAGCGAACCCGCCGTGACATTCATACATTTCTCCGTTTATTTCCCGTCTCGGAATGCTCCGAAAAAATTCCAATCGTCTAACACGATGCCCACGTGCGGCGAGTATCGATTCGCGCCGCAACGTCCCGTGACACGAATGGAAGACGCGAGAGCACGTGCATTCACGGTATTATTCATTTTCCGGCTTTTGGAAGAAAGACATGTTTTCTGCAGATCGCGCATAGATTACGCGGGATCGAAATGCGCAACGTTGAGAGTGTGACGATACGTGAGAAAGGTCTCATCATTTGATCCCTTTCCGCATCTTAAGGCGCACTTTAATTAATGCGCATTAATATTCGAATGTATTTTTTTTGTTTGTCGGAATTTTTTTGATGATCGTAATAACATTGTTTTTATCTTATATTTTTATGTTATTCGAAACTTTATTTGAATTTGGCTTAATACGCTTTATACCACATTCTTCGTATATTGGTAAAAATTTTTCAAAATTTAATCATATGTAGCGTGGAGATTGGAGAATCTGTCCGTGGAGAAGACGTGTATATCGTGCAAAGCGGAAGCGGCGAGGTGAACGATAATCTAATGGAGCTTCTGATTATGATCAACGCTTGCAAAATTGCTTCTGCATCTCGAGTGACAGCGGTTATTCCTTGTTTTCCTTATGCAAGGCAGGATAAAAAAGATAAGGTAAGAGAAAAGGGTTGTATAATGATTATTTCTTTAGCTAGATTTAAGTTCTAAGTAGTTTCATAAAATAGATATAGTATCCAAATCGATAAATAATACTAATTTTTATAACGATGCTTTATATAGGTCAATTATTTTTAAGAATATTTGGGGGGGTATTACCAGAAAGTATCATTAAACATTGATGTTAGTACGAATGTACTTAAAGTACATCTTATGTGATCAGTTTTTAGCTGAGGAAGACTTGAGTAAGAGTCAAAATTAATTCTGTTGCCTGAAAGCGAATTTCTTGTGATTATTATGTAATGTGGACTTAAGTGTTATATCATACGAATATCAATGCTTGACAATGTTCAAACTGGCCTAAATTCTTATTCAGAAAATTCTTAATGCATTTTCTAAGAAAAAGAGAGGAAAAATGAGTCAATTTTTATTTATTTCAATTATTTTTGTTTTCTACTCTCTCTATAGATTAAATATAAATATACATATATATACATTTCTGTATTATTATATCAAAGCATTCTTTTTTAATAAAATAGTATTGTTTTTTTTTGTTTTTTTTTTGTTTTTTTATCTTTAATGTATATACTTACATATCTTAGTCATTGAGATTATACTAACAATATATAAGGAGTTATTTAAAACAGTATAGTAATAATATATGAAATAATAAATAGCAAATATGCATGTGATATATGCATTAAATCTGCATTTGTGGTCAAAAATGTGTATGTATGAAAAATTTTATTCTCGAAATACTTTTGAAAGTTATATTTCTATTGCAAATATTTTTGTAAAACAATAATTATATTTATCAGTAATTTTTAACAGTAATATTATATCTTATCAAAGACTATGCCATACATCATATGCATATATATACATGTATATATATCTCTCTTTTAATATATATATATATGTACATACAATATTTATATCTCTTTCTTATTCATAAAATTTGCAAAATCTTAATACTTTAAAAGATGTGTTTATATATCTTACATAATCACTGGTGTACTTGTATGTATGTATATGTGTATGTGTGTATATATACATATATGCACACACACACACACACACGCGTGTAAATATATATGTTTACAAGCTAGAATAATTTTTGTAATTATAATTGTTATATGTAATTATATAATTGTTAATATGTGTTCACCAATTAATATAGTCACAGTCTACATTTGACTAAATAGATATCAATTCTATTAATTTTCACACTTGCATAATATCTAAAAATGACATTTTAAAAACAAAACATATAAACTTGCAACAATCTTTTCAACAAAACTTGGAATAGATAGTTGGTTCACATGTAATTAATATATATATATATGTATATAAAAAATTTATCATCTCCTATTTTACATGATTTTTTGTTTAACAATGTGTCATTTTTATAATACATATGACACAAGCACAATAATTCTTTATATTAATTTATATATTATATTATATATATGAATACACAAATCTGTCTTTTGTAAAATATGTTTTCAGTTTCTATTCTATTTAATATTAACAAAACTTGAAGTCTATGTTTTGATAGTAAAAACGGCAAATGTGAAATAAGGAGGAAACGTTATCTTGAAGAAGAAACTATATTTCTTTAATGTACTGTATCTTCGCAGGGCAATGATGCTGGAGACTCTAAAAGTCAGATTATCATGAAGTCGAACGAGTGGAAATTCAGGGTAACTTGTGGCGGTCCATTTTTATGTTACATCTTCTTATTCTCTCATAGCTTTGTAACAGACCAGTGGAGTAATATCATTTTTGGAACGCAAAACTTGATTTCATTGTCATATATAAAATATGCTTATATTCTGCCGGCTTTCGTCATTGGGCTGCACCAGATAGGAGAGAAATACACTTGTATATTACTGGACTTTCATCATTCGTTGATTATCATAATTTTTTTATAATCTTTAGGGATATATTTTTGCTTTTTTGATAGGCAAAATTATAACTATAATAGAAATATTAATCCTTGATGAAAGTAGATATATGTTATATTGGCTGTCTCAATTTATAATTGCAAGTGTCAAATGATTTCATATTATAAGAACAGGTAGCTTTTATATAAATGATATAAAACTCAAAAATTTAATCAGCTATACAATGTATGTAAAAAATATTGTTTTCTTTTTGAATCATATTTATTGTTAAATGATGAAACTAATATATAATTTGAAAGAATATATATGCAAAGATAATATTAACAATGTATGTGATAATAAGTGAAATTTATAATAACATTTTAATATTGTGTATATTATATAAAAGTCACATCAAAATTATTGTTATAAATAAATAAACTATATCATTTATATAATCATGTAAAAAGTGTGCAAATCAAGCATGAGTTAAACTTTTATAAGTTGTGTTAAATCAGACTTGCGTCATCAGAATTTTTTGTTGAAACAAACACTCGTTGCTTTTAGTATCAACATTTACATATCATTTTAAAACATAGACAAAAATATAGATAGAAATATGATTGTAATATTATAAATATTATGCATAAAGTTATAATTTCTAGCAGTTTGTTATTACCAACACAATCATAATGAGATAATGTTTGCAACAAGGCAAATATTTTAAACATCTGAGCACTGCAAATGCATACATTTCAAGCATGTTGTTCAATAATAACATAAGGTTATCACATTAGATAACCCGGATGGGTATTGCAAAACTCGTGCTAGATTTCTCTTTGAGGGGGGTCTTCTGTGCTCATTTTTGTTGTTATGTCAATAATAATCACACATAGTTCATCAATCTTTGATGCACTTTATTTAATTAATGTTATATATTAAATATTTTACAAATATATTGAATAATATAATTCAATATATTTATTTTTTAAGTAAAAATTTATGTAAAATATGTGCATGATATTTTTATATATTAATTTACAACAAAAATGAGCATCTTTTAAATATTAATTGGGTATTGCATGAGATTAATATATGTATATAAGATAAAACTAAAAAAATTGTATAATTTTGAATCAGCTGTTGTTAGACAGTTATCTAAAAGTACATAATTTTTTTAGTTTTATCCAGCTCTTGTTATATTTTTAAATCATATTACAAAGTGAAAAGAAACATTTGGCTATAATGTTTATTAAAAAAGAAAACTTGTGTATATCTTTTTAAGATTCTGAATAGTTGGGTATTTTCAGGATATTCTGCCCGACCTGTCTACAGTGAGTATAATAGCAACGAGATTGTCGAGTGCGGCGTTTGCAATGATAACTCGATGAATCAAATTTGTAATATTGATTTTTGAAATTAAGATGAAAATTTTCTTTGTAGGACTAACCAAACTTAAATAATATCGTTGCTATACAGCACATTGGTATCCCCGTGAATGAATGAATGAATGAAACATTTGGTCAAAGCATATGATATCCGAATGAGAGGGCAAAATATTAATATAATAGCAGTACATTGTTCGCAATTAGTATAATGGGGTACGCGTACATGTATGTTTCATTAGATACTAATTATTGAGGCTTAAATCAGTGTTATTGTCTGAGTGCACTAATCAAGTATCGCCTATTCTTATTAATGCTTAAATAGTATAGGAATGTGTCAATGTGTTTTTTTTTTATTTCCGTAATAACTTCTCCTGTCAATACAGTAATTGTGAAAAGATCTTAAAATGATTAATAATAGTCTTTTATAACTCTTATATATATATGTACAACACAACTGATTACAAGTATTTATATGTTAAAAATATTTCATCATTTGCACAATGCATTTCTTTATTGAAGACAATCGAAGACAATGTACTAATTCGGATATATTTAAATTTACAATTATAAAATTTTTTTTACATAATTTTGCACATAATGTCCAGAAATATGCACTCGCGAAATACTGATGTATCTACTTATTAAAACCTATTTTTTTATATTTGTGATTTATACTTACACATATTTATCTGTAAATGTTTGCCCTCTTGTTCATCTCATGCCATCCTTTGCTATATGAGGGTAAGGGATCGAGATGCATTGTGTTTCGTTTTGCGTTCATAATTTTAGATATTTTGCTTCACTTACAATAGTTATTTAGAGTCTAACTGGGGTGCATTTGCAACGTTGTTTTTCTGTCAAAATATATTTTCTATAAATATATATTTTTGAAAAAAAAATTTTATTACTTAGCCATTATATTTATATTTTGTCCCCTCTGAAAAAAAGAAAATCTCTTTGGACAATTTGTTTTCAATATTTAATAAATCAAATCTTATATCTGTTTTTAAAGCCCTCACAGTCGAGATAAATTAATATTGTATCCTGTGAAAAATTCTTGTTTAGCTTAAAGGAAGCAAACAGACTGGGGCTCATAACTTTTTCCAATTTTTGTAGTATGTTTTCGGCGTGTTTTTATAAGATTTTAATAGCAATTTCTTTAAATTGCAGGATATTTCCAGTTGCAAATGGACTTGAAGGACTCGTCCAAATTTTCGAAACTTATCTTATTAAAATGTGTTTTTACAGAGTCGTGCGCCAATCTCCGCAAAGCTAGTAGCGAATATGCTTTCCGTAGCAGGTGCTGATCACATTATCACAATGGATTTGCATGCTAGTCAAATACAAGGATTCTTTGATATCCCAGTAGATAATTTATTTGCCGAGCCAGCTGTCCTCAAATGGATTAAAGAGAATATTGTTGAATGGCGAAACAGCATTATCGTCTCCCCCGATGCGGGTGGCGCCAAAAGGTAAGTAATCGAAAAAAAAAAGAAATATTTTTAATTAAAGATATTGATCTTGACATCAGATATTGATATTGAGATATTTTTTATTTTACAGAGTCACATCTATCGCAGATCGGTTAAATGTTGAGTTTGCCCTTATACATAAAGAAAGGAAAAAGGCAAATGAAGTCGCTAGCATGGTATTAGTCGGAGATGTCAAAGACAGAGTCGCAATTCTCGTAGATGATATGGCTGATACCTGCGGTACTATCTGTCATGCGGCGGAAAAGTTGTTGGAAGCTGGTGCCACAAAAGTTTATGCAATACTTACACATGGTATATTCAGCGGTCCTGCAATTAGTAGGATTAACAACGCCTGCTTCGAAGCTGTGGTAGTGACTAATACTATTCCACAAGATGGTCACATGAAAGATTGCCCAAAGATTCAGGTAACTTATTATTCTTCTCACTCAAGGAATTGTATATTAAATATAATGAAATGATTCTTATCACGATAATAACAATAATGATAATATTATAGATATTAATTTTTAATCATAATATATTATTGATTGTTATTTTTCAGTGCATTGACGTGTCGATGATGTTTGCTGAAGCCGTAAGGCGGACGCATAATGGTGAATCCGTATCATATCTGTTTTCAAATGTACCGTATTAGATGAAAATCTTCCTACTTCAAATTGAGATTTATATTAGTTCTATTTTTTCATGAATTTCTAACAGTAAATTTGACTAATCGATAAATTCATGATATAATCGTGATAAATTTTTAAAAGATTAGATTTATATATATATATATATATATATATATATATATATATATATATATATATATATAGGTTATTTTTTTCTTTAAAATTTAGTAACCAACTATTTTTCGAATTTTTGTAGACAGTAGAAAAATACAAATGTCTTTACCTTACTCGAATTTCGTTGTGATCATAGTTGCAACTTTTGCTGTGTATAACTTATAGCATCTTTTCACATGTCTCACTTAAAAAAGAAAATAAATTAAAAAATGATCGATTGATCTCTTATGACAAGAGATTATTAGTAATTTAATAGATCGGAACTTGTAAACTATGATTAAAATGCCCTCAATGTGCCCGCACGTATCATTTAGGTAACATAATTTACTAATGCCGAGATCCCGTATTAAATAAAAATTTTTAGATCTGTAATATCTCTGCATAGAAAAGTTTTTCATATATTGATGCTTAAAATTTCGTAATTATATTAAAATTATCATTGTGTTGTGATTATCATATAGATAATAAGAAAATGGCACAGTCGTATTTTTTAATACGACTATAATCTAATACCTCAGCTATATTACAATAAAAAAGGTTTGTAATGTGCACTGTTTTTATTTGGAAAATAACCTCGGACCAACATACAAATTTAGCTTAATATGTTTATAATGATATACAATTGCAAATTTTTCTTATTTAATAAAAAAATATTATTATTCAAGCACAGTAATAAATGTATAAAGAATAAAAAGTAATATATATTAAGAAAGCATATATGTGTGTGCATCAGATGTCACAAAATGTTTACTAAAAATTTGAAAAATAAAAATTTAACTTATATTAATGAGGAGACAATAGAGGATAATAGAGTACATAATTTAAAAAAGATTACAAACACAATTTTATGGATATTATATTTTTAATATTATTATGATATTAAATCATTACAAATTGTATGAAAAAAAAAAATAAATTAATACTTATATCATATGCTTTATACATATACCATGTTTAAATTAAGGCAAGAGAAACTTCTCTATGTAATATTGTATCTCTATATATAATTGTACATTGATTATGTACGAATTTTCCTCAAGCTTTTCTCAAGAAAAATTTAAGTGTTCTTTGGTGTTATCTAATTTGATAGCTTACGATTTTTGAACACCAGGAGGTAATGTTATATCAAATACGATTGGTGAATTATTTGGCAGATAATTCAAATCACAAGTAGATGCATTGATGTATATTATTTTGCCATCTGATGATATGCCATATCCTGTAAAATAAAATTAAATAGATAGAAAACTTGCAGTATATTTTTATACATATATATTTAGATTTTACAGTTAAGGTTTTATCATACCTTCATGTATATGACCAAATACATGATATTTGGGTTTCACACGATTTTGCACTGTCGACAATAACTCTACGCATCCAGCGCGTACTCCGCTACAACATAGGTCTCCATGACCTACAGGAGGAGTGTGCGTTACAAGAATATCTGTATCCGATGGAATCAGTTCCCATTTTGACAGGCATGGTTGTCCACGTGGCACGTTAAACGCCCATTTACAAAATTCTGGTTGCCTAAGATTTCAATGAAATGTCCTTCAATAAGAAATCTCTTATATATACCTGAAATTATTTTCTACAAATATTTTTCATAATACAATATTCAAAATATCAAATTTTTAATATAATTTTGATGAATTATCTTTTACAACATATCACAACATATAGACAAGCCACATGTTCTGTATATATTGTTGAATCTTGGAACCTAAATATATGAAAGATCTTTTTCATAACATTTTAAAAACAAATGTATAGGTAAAAGCTTAACTTTTTTAATTCTGAGTTATATAAGTTTTTACTTAATGACTTAATAAGCCTATACATATTTATTTACTACTAAATTTTTTAGTGAAACTAATTTGATAATATTTACCATGGAGTACCATATATCTTGATTCCATGTATTACAATTTCGGAATCTTCCAAATATGTACAGTTTGTCAAATAATCTTTAACATTAGTAGTTTTAATAGCTTCAGCAAGAGTGTCTTTTGACATACCCAAAGTGGGTATATTGTCGAGTATGCTGGTTCCAGTATGTTTCTGATGATCCCCGCTGGTATGCACAGAAAAGGGATGCGTAAATGTGGGATCAAAGCTAAGTTCATGATTGCCAGCTATAACTATTTTATGTTTGTGTGGTAAGTTACCTAAAATCACACAAAATGCATTAATATTTATACGATTTAGATTTAAAAAATTCAAGTTGCTATTAATGAATAAAAATATTGTTTCTTTTGATTATAGGCTTTCCTGATTTGTTATTATTAATATAGTGCACCTATCCAATTGTTGAATTCTATGACTTCTTGTAAACTACCACATTTCGTAAAATCTCCGGCGTGGATGAAGACGTCCCCAACAGGTATATCAAATTTTATAAATGGTGTGAGTGAGTGCGTATCGCTCATACATACTACACGTAACTAAAAAATTAAAATTTATCGTTTTAAATTAAATATACATGTAGATAGAACTATTTATGCGAACAATTGTAAAAAAATAAGATATTTAAAAAATTCTGCTTATACATGTATAATTAATAATATGAAAAATATATAAAATAAGTGAAGGCTACTTTTTGAGGTTAACATACATATATCTTTTCGTATAAAAAAGCATCAGAACGATAAAAATTATCAGACGTACTTTATCGCTTGGTGCCTCGGTCGTCGGCAATTTTGCAGTTATTTTAACAACTTTTTGATACTGAGATAATTCGCGCCAAGCTGCTGTCGGATCAGCTGTCAACGGATGTATAGCTATCTTCATGCTGAACAGCTAAATAGACTCTGCGCCGACACATGAGATTCATTGTTTAGCTGCACGTGTTTTCTTGCACGTTCTTTTCACAATTAAAAATTTAAAATATGTGTTTTTTATAACATAATAAAATTAATAAAATAGTCATTTTGATATTTAATATATATTTACAAATTTTTATTTAAACGCAATATATATATATATAGATGTGCAGATATATATAATATGAATATAAAATGCAGCATATATATAGGATGATGTTGATGAATAACACATATGATTCATATTGAAATAAAATACAATAAATATGTATACATCAATTATAAATAAAGAAAACAAATTTTTTAAATTATTTTAAAAGCTTTTATTCGAACACAAAATATATAATACACATTATATATCATTATTTAATAATATATAATAGAATATATAATTAATGGAGTTTAACTCTCCTGAAAAAATAGAAAGATTTTCCAGATGCTTTTCCGTGATTTTTGTCCGTTCGTCAGCATTTTTCATGAGCAATTATGGTTATCGGTTTTCTTTCGCATATCTTCTATACTCTTTGCCAACGAGGAGCCTGTAGTCCTTCGGGATTATTTTTTGTATACCAATCCATTACATAATCCAAATTTTGCTTTTGCTTTTCAGTACATTTCCTACATTCGGTGTTCAAAGCTTCACCAATAATCTCTGGAAGCAAAATATGAAAATCAATTTATTAATATTTATTAATTTATTTAATTTATATTAATAATATATAATTGACCTTGCATTTTTTTATAAAACTGTATTAATCTATAAAAATTATTATATAAAATTTTAAAAATATGCAAGAAAGCTTTAATAATAAGATAGTGTATATATACACACACATATATTTTTTATATATGGCAAATTCTTTAATTATAATAAAAATATATACACTTATAATTGATTTTTTTCTTAGCGAAAATTTAAATGCTATTAAAACACATTGTTAAATTTTTTAAATAATTTCCAGAATTTTAAGATCATTATATAGATGTATAAATATAATACAGACACAATAAACCTAATTAAAAATCTATAAAAATTAATTAAAAATTAATTAAAATATTACATTGTTACTATAGTTTTTTAATACATTTATATAATCAGTAAAAATGCTATTCTTTCAATCACCAAATATTAGACAATTGTCCTGACTATTATTAATATTAAAAAAAAAATTAATTTAAAAAATAAAAAAATTTGCAAATGAAAAAGAAAGTGAGATGCACTGTGTATATTATATAGATATATACCTTTAAAGAATTTTGAATCAGGTGTCTTGCACGGTGCTAAATCCATAAAACATTTGTAATATTGTTCTCGCATTTTCGGATTATTAAAAATTGCGACAACATCAACATCGTCGTATCGATCAGAATAAAGTGTCTCTGCGAAAACGCATGTTAGTGCAACGATAATCGCTACGATGAAGCTTAGCCGAGCCATTATTTTTCACTTTTACACTAACTCGCCTAATAAAGATACTAAGTACTCAATGGAGACTGTCCATCCTATTTATACGAAATGGTCGAGACAAAAAACTATTATGTATGAAATGGTCATAGTACAATTTTCTATGACAGTTTAACGATGACCATATTGCTTATATTATATTCTAATGATCAAAGTAAAAAAAAAAAAAGAGAAGAAGAAAATTGATTGACAAAGATTCAGAAAAATACATCTTTTAATTATAGTGTATTAGTGTTGTATATATGCTATATAATTGACACATTATATATTTTGGGAAATATTTATATCTTGTCAAACAATACTGCAACATCAAATACATATAAATGCATATATGATTTGTTATATTTATATTACTCGTATAATAATTTCATCTTATTTAGAAGAGAAAAGAAAAGAATCATTATCTAAAAGAGAACGAAAAGATATTTAATAAGTATAATAGAGTACATGGAAAAAAAAAAGATTTTTCTTATAAAAATATCAATAGTCAAAAATAATAAATAAAATGAAATTTTTTCCCCTTTAATTTCTCAAAAATCTTTTTAAATACATATATAATCTTATTCTTTGCATAACTTATTTATATAATTTTATTTAATTTTAGGCTTTATTTTATGCTTAGTTTTTCTGTAAGAATACTTATTAAGCAAAGACAAATATTTTTTAAAAATGTATAAGGATCGATAAGATGAATTTTGTGAAAAATTTTATCGAGTTAGACATACTAATGAGTTATATCTTTAACTATATATATATATATCTTTGTAATAATTATTAAACGCTTGATTGATTATTTTCTATAAATTAAATATTAACGAGTTTGACACTGCAGAAAACACATTAAACAGAGATATTGTTAAAGATGCAAGACAGACAAAATATATATTTATTATATATTTTCTATCAATTTTCCATCAATTATTCATGAGACAGGAAATTTTCTGAAGATCTTATATAATATAAATAAGTATACTTTTGCATAAAAGATCGTGAAATATGCGTATTATAAAAAAAAAATCGCGTATGTCATAATATATCCTGAATGAAGTGTGAAGTGTTTTCAATCAAAGATTATTAGTAAGATTATTTCTCAAAAATTCTTAAATAACTATGATCGCATACTTATCGTGTTATATCCACAATCAAAATGATACTTCGTTTCAGATAATAAATTTCACGTTATATAGGCCGGTTTATCTTAACATATTCTATTTTATAAATATTACAAAAAGCGCGCGACATTTGCTTATATATATATTTCTTGTATATATATATATATATATATTTAATATTTAATTAAAAAATAAAAACAGAAATATATCTAATAATAATAATATATGAATTTTAAATCGGCCAATAGAGCCCAAGCGCGAAAAATTAATTCTTCGGAACTGTATCTCTTGGTTTGAGATTACTAAGTTCCATTTTTCTCGCCTATTTTTCTCCATATGTAAGTTTGAGATTAATTTATATATGGAATTTAGTAATCTCAAACCAAGAGATACAGTTCCGAAGAATTAATTTTTCGCGCTTGGGCTCTATTGTCCGATTTAAAATTCATATATTATTATTATTATTAATATTGAGAGTCGACATATATTTCTTATCTGAGAAATATATCTGTTATTATGATACAATTGCCATTTACTCAACGATTACTTGAGAAATATATATCTGTATACACAAAAAAAATCTCTAAATATATAAGCAAAATTTTATATACAATTGTCGATACATGATTTTGTGATATTATCAACAGTTGATAATATCAATCTCTTCAATTATTTTCTACTTTATCGATTTGATAAATATACATGTGTGTTGTGTGTGTGTGTGTGTGTGTGTGTGTGTGTAAAATGTGCCACATCATATATGCATAGTTTATATTTAATAAAAATTTAATTAATAAAAGATTTGTAACTTTTGCTTGAACATTCATTATTTCGAATTAAACTTTAATAATTTAATTATTTTTAGTTCTGTTGAAACGTACTTTGTACTTTGTACTTTAACCAACCCAACCTGATCTGAACTTATTCCACTTGAAATATAAATTCAGTCTTCAGTCCCCTCTTCTTAGTTGATATCTGTGTATCTTATTTATCTAACTTTGCAAAGTCATATTAATTTTCAAATAGTACAATAAAAACTGTTGAGCCAACAGCAGGAATCTAGTATCTGTTCTTTAGTCTGTGTAAAATTAAATACTCAACATGATGCTTAAAAGGGTAAGTAACAAAAGAACAATAATTCCAATTTACTTGCTTTATTGAAATTACGTTATGCGATTTTTATAATTTTGTTGCATAGTATTTTATCTATAAATAGAGAATCGGTTATTTGTTCTTTGTATTTTCTGTATTATTTATCTTTTTTTCTCCAACAATAAGTATATATATATAGATACATACATCCATACTTCATCTCCTTTTGTATATGGAAAATGCAATATTGCAGCTACAAAAGAGCAAAAAACAAACCTTATGACAGTTAAAATAATTAGTATGCGATTTTTTGAATAAATTTTTATATGCTCAATATCATGCTCATATATTTGAACATCAATTTTCAGATATTCACTCCAAGAATGTACCAAAAAGTGATACGTCCATTCTCAACAGCTGTTGAACCTAATCAAGGATATAATTTTGGTTAGTATGAGATTAATCTTTTCAATGAGAAAAAGAAAAAATCTTTCTTGTTAGTAAAAAAAAAAAAAAAAGAAAAGTTATTCTCTCAAAATAAAGTTATTTTTATTAATTTGAAGCAATTTTTCAAATTAAAAAGAATGTATTTTAAGTATTGAATTGTATCCTAGCAAACACCAAGTAACTATATTATATAACTGTTAGTTATAATTTTTTACTCAATAATGTAAATGCAATATAACATACGTCAAACGCATATGTTATATTGCATTTACATTTTTAGTGAGAAATTATAACACATGCGTTTGACGTATGTTATATTGCATTTACATTATTGAGTAAAAAATTATAACTAACAGTTATATAATATAGTTACTTGGTGTTTGCTGGATAAGTATAAAAGAAGTATTGATTTGCATCAAGTATTTCATCTTAATTTAAGAAATTAAAGTATTATCAATTATATATAATGTGTTTACCACCATAACCAATATAACCAGTATATATAAACCTTTTAAATTTTTTCCAATTACTGTTTCAATACCATACACACACACACACATTATATTTGTTTTAGAATAAATATACATAAAATATACATATCAACACAAAGCGAATAATGCATATAAATAAGTACATCTAATGAAAATATTATACTTAAACACTTAAACATTATTTAGAAGCATACATTTTATTATTTTGTTATTGTTAAAAGTTTTATTATATATTTATAATCATTTTTATTTAAAATTATGTAAAAATAAATAATACATTTATTTATATTTGAATAAAAAAAATTTTATTACTCTTCTCTTGCATAAAAATGGTGTACAAAACATTGCAACTTAAGATTTGCATATTTTATATTATACATATAGATATTAGTACATTATATTATCTAATTAAAAAACAATTTTTTATTGCATTATTAGAACTTTCTGACACCCAGAGAGAAATGCAAGATTTAGCACGGAAATTTGTCAGAGAAGAGATTATTCCGGTAGCTGCAGAATATGATAGAACTGGAAAATATCCATGGGAACTTATCAAAAAGGCATGGAGTCTTGGTCTTCTGAATAAACATATCCCCCAACATTGTGGTATGTTTGCCTTGCGTGATATATTTATTATATTTATTATTTATGATTATATATATTTTTAAAAGATTATAGAAAAGAGAATAATGTTCAAGAATATTTTTCAATGCAAAAATGATTCAGGATTATTTTATCGCAGGTGGTTTGGAAAGTGGTATTTTCGATGCTTGCTTGGTTACAGAAGAATTTGCTTATGGTTGTACAGGATTAGCAACTGCAATGGATGCTTCAAGTCTTGGAGTCAGTTTTATTTATTATACATATTTCACTTCTGTGTCATATACAATTTTAACAAGAATTTCTTTGATAAATTAAAATTTTTTTTTTTTTTTTTAAGAATTTATTAGTTTTCAATTTTTACGAAATTATAAATATATATTAATCAAATTATTTATTATTATTGAGACACAAGATATTGGAACTTTTGCCTTTATTTATTTAGCAAACTCCAGTCATTGTAGCTGGAACTAAGGAACAACAAAAGAAATATCTTGGAAGACTCGTAGAGGAGCCACTTGTTGCGGTGTGTCAAGTTTGCAAATATATTTATATTTAATCTAAATATTTTTAAATGTAATGTATAACTTATATATATTTTTTTATTTTTAATATAATTTTTACAGGCATATTGCGTTACTGAACCTGGTGCAGGATCTGATGTAGCAGGTATTAAGACTAAAGCTGAAAAGAAAGGAAAAGAATGGGTAATTAATGGCACAAAAATGTGGATTACAAATGGCGGTGTTGCTAATTGGTATAATAACACGGTTAAATATCTGACATTAATTTATAAGGAAAATTCTTAAGTTTTTTACATACTTTTTATTCTATAGGTATTTTGTTTTGGCAAGAACAAATCCTGATCCAAAAGCTCCAGCTGCAAAGGCTTTTACAGGTTTCATTGTAGAACGTGATAGTGATGGTTTAACTCCAGGTCGTAAGGTAATCTTTGATAACAATTTTTTATCTTATCTTAAATGTGTTAATTCGAATTTTTTAAATCTGTATTAATTATTTTTTCATTTCTTTCAAAGGAAATAAATATGGGACAAAGAGCAAGTGATACTCGAATGATAACATTTGAAGATGTTCGTGTCCCTGAAGAGAATGTATTATTGGAAGAAGGGCAAGGCTTCAAGATAGCTATGAAAACTTTGACAGAACTCGAGCACCGGTATATTTCTATTCATGACATTGGATATTAAATTAGATAAACCAAATGAATTTAATATAAAAGGTATATATACTGATATTTCATAT